CACAGAATGTGCTCAGAATTTTTTACAAAATAATTACAATCCAAGAAAAAGGAAAAAAAAAAAGCCTACATAAATCAGTACAGGTATCACAAAGTATAAAAGCTACAAGACAAGAAAATGATAGTTCTTGCAATGTAAAACATGCTTCCAGAGCTGTATCCTGTTCTCACACCTTTCATGATGTAACTTTTGTTCGAGAAATTATTTCATTCACAAAACTGTTGTTCTTTGCCAACACATCATTTCTCAGTTGTTTCAGCTTGATTTTGATGTCGTCTTCTGACATATCTGTCAGGGGCAATGCTTTCACTTGACAAAGAAAATCCTGAATTATATTTTCACCTTCCTGAAATGGAGGAAAGAGGAGGAAAAGAAAATAGGATGTTTAGATTGCAAGCAGGATTTTTCCAAATTCTCTAAAGATACCAACTATCATCACCAGAAACTTTTTTGCAGACATAAACCATGGTTATTTTTGCACTTCCAATCATGTTCTCAACACCAGAACAATCCAGTTATACTGGTATCAGGAATTCTTTCCCCTTTCAATCCATGAGCAAAAAGCCTCAGTTGATCAGTAGAAATACAGTATTTAACACTGATACCTCCTATGTGCGTTCCACATTTAACTCCAGTGTGCAAATGCACTAGGTGAGGATTGCTAGCAATAACATAGCCATATTACACAAACCAGTTACTTTTGGGAGGAACTGTAAATCAAAACCAATGTTTCAATATGCAAAATGCAAGAACAAATTGTAACCAAGCAACTGGAGAGTGGCCGTCACCAAGGAGAACAGATGATAATTAAGCTTTATGCATATGCTTTCACACAAACAGGCGAAGTGTAGCTTCTAAACAATCTGAATTGACTAGCAAGAACAAACATTTCAATGAACAGTATTCAGGATGCCTGTATTAGTAACAATTTGCCCAGAATACAGAGTTTTGTCCTGTCCTCTGCATTTTGCATTTTAGAACACCACTACAAAGTTTTGTTTTATCATTTAAAACTAATGTAGTATGTTTTCAGTGCAGAAACCATCAAAGGACTTAGAAATGTAATAGCACACTTCTCCCTCTAAACATGATGTTAACAAAGGCAGTGACATCTAAAGCTATGCCATTCTATTGCCTAGGGAGTTTATGAAATATTATGTACTACCGTAATAGCCAAGAAAAAAAACACAATGCTGTATTTGTCAGAAGTGTTTACCACATTAATTTAATTGACACCAATTTAAGACCACACAGCCAGATCCAAATAATCTAAAAAATACTATACCACAATACCTAGCAATCTGGCAAATGAAAGGTAATAGTGGAGCAACTGAGGTAGTTGAAGGGGGAACCTCCTGGCACTAAAAAAGTAGGACAAATCAGAGATCATTGATTCAAAACATCAGATCCATTTACTGAACCAGGAACAAATGCAGTAGACCTCTGAAACTGAAAATAAAGTAACAGGCTCTGTCTAGAGCAAAGGCTTTTTAAATGCAGAAAGTGCTACGGATATGGGCTAACACTTCAAGGCTTCCATATACTGGAGCATTACCAAGACTACCACTGATGTATGGGAGGAGATAAATGAGTTACAAGGCTGAAGTTCCATGCCAACTGCTGGGACACAGAACTAAGATCTTTAAGCAAATTTATATGCCTGCTGCAAGGAGGACTTGACTACTGGCACAGAACAATGCAAGTCATAAAGCAGCACAGGATTTTCCTAGGAGGGTGCAACAGATGTCACTGTAAGGACTCTTAAGCCAGCAAGATGATGACACGGGCCATTCTGAAAAGGCTTTCTGCAAGATACTGTTTTCCTTTACACTACCTGCTAATGAAGCTTCTTTTAAGAGAAAGCGAAGAGAGAAAAGAATGAACTATTTTGTTTTGGCTACTCCAGCAAAACTAATTTAAAAGCATTCCTGACAGCAAACCTCTCTTTCTTTGCAGAATTTCTTGGCTGGTGGTTCTCCTTCAGATTCCCTGGACTTGCCAATGTTTTGAAACTCCTCCAGTTCCAATGCTTTCTCTCTTGCACTTTCTATCACATGTTTTGGGAAAGCCGCCAACTCTGCTACATGTATTCCAAAACTCTGGTCACAAACACCTGGATGCAGATTAAAAAACAACAGTAAAGAATTCACAAGAGATAATATGGCTACACAGATTATATGACCAAACTTGTAATAGTTCTCCATTCTGAAGAATTAAATGCATGTCATGGTTTGGTTCTCCGAACAGTTTCTGATTTAATTTTGGACTACAGAGTCTAAAGAATATGTTCTTATTTAATTAAGCTCTCTTAGAACAGTAATTGCAGAGCTCCAAAAGTGATTCAAGAAGAAAGGGAAAACTCTTCAGGCAGAAAGAATTTCCCTCTAGTACTTGAATGAAACTGAATAATGCTTTTTATTAAAGTACTTCAGCACAGCCTGTAGAATACAGTATATTAAAAATTATGTGAATTACATTTCTCACATTTTTCTATATTTAAGTATTTTTATATATACATTCACACATGTAAAATGTTGCATTCTCAATCATCCTCATCTTCCTTTGCATCAGTACCACCCAACTCCTCAGTCTCCAGGAGTCATCTTTAATTATATCAAAACCTTTCAACTTTAACTTTACACTTATTTCAATTAATACACTTTATAATATTTGGCTGAGGCAGAAAAGTTCTCATAACTGCTAAAAATACACTAATTATACATAGCTACATAAAAATTTTCACTTCAGTATCAAAAGCCCTCTGATACAATCTGCCAACTCCATTCATCTACATTACCATAATTCTGATTGGCCACCCACGAATATTACCACATCCTTTTAATTCTGGTCTCCAGCAAGGAGGTACAAATAACATATGTAAAATTATTCTTAACTAATCATCTATTAAATGTTGGGTAACTAAAGATTAGGTGAAACAAAATTTTGTAATTAGACTTTTTCTGTTTTATTAACCTTGCGATCTCTCAGGTTTCTTAAAGGAAACCAATTTTTAAGCAGAAATTAGACCTCATATTGATTTTATATTAAAAACACACACCTCCCCAGACACAAACTAACTTAGGTGTCTGCTCAAAGAACCCTGAGCAGAGGCATAGAGAACAGTACTTTCTGTGTTTCCTCTTCCAGCCATCCTACAACACTCTTAAAGCATGAAGACACAGATGAAAATACTACGTAAGAGTTCCTTGTGTAACATGCATGACACTTCAAATGATGTGAAACACTTATTTCAAAAAGCCAGCTGTATCTGAGCTGTCCATACTTACATCCTTCCCTGAACCACATAACCCTTCCAAAAGGGAAAGGGCACAACACCACACGCAAAGACTTGAGTGAAAGACATCCAATTTGAGACGAGGTGTTTTAAGACAAAGATTTCATTAAGTTCTATCTATCTATCTCATATGACAGAGGTTTAAGTAGATAGATACAAACTATTGCGCCTCTATGCTCAACGGCACTTCCAAGAAAATAGAGTGAATGGAAAGACACTGCATGTACAAAGAAAAGACGTGCATGACTGAAAATAGCAAAACTGATTGAAGAAAAATATTAAACCAGGCTTATAGAGTTTTTACTAGAACCAGAATTGATGAGTTAATACTGGTCAAATATATATTATTAAAAAAAAAAAAAAGAAGAAAGAAAAAAAAAAAAAAGAGAAGCATGTGGGGGGTGTTAAAGAAAGAATTCAAAGAATTCTCACCCAGCTGTCTGGGGGGTTTAATTGTAAGGTTTGCTATTCCAAAGGATTTAGAAGGCAGAAAGTTTAGAATTAGGGTATGTTACTTCCGTGCCCAACCTAAGTACTCAAAATAAGGCACTTAAATGAAGATGGCTTGTTTGAAGATGGCTCTCGCTGCACTGGAAACACTCATAGTTTCAATGTATGCTTGCAGCAATTTATGACTACACTTGTCTTCAGTTCCCAGGCCACACTAAGTCATATTTAAAGCATTGATTTCAGCAAGGCACTCAGGGCTCTGAACCTTTACTTGGTGGAAGGAACTTAACATGTGCTGGAGAAGATGGGAAAGAGCAAACTATGGAAGAACCATAGACACTGCCTCCCCGCTGGAACAAGCTGGGTACCAGGGCCACAGCACTTTGGACTAATACTCAGAAGCAAAGCCTGGGCATTGCCTATTAAAAAATGCATGAACAAAGGATAAAAAGGCCATTTCTAAGAAATAAAGGTCTTAAAAGTCAAGGACACAAGAATTAAAATAAACAAGACTGTGGCAGCTGGAGATATTCTAATCAGCTTTAAGTAGACCGTCAGTGAAGCCAGAAGAGAGCAGCGCTTACAAGTCATGCTTCAACTCTCCTTGTCCAGAGCAGACTCCTAGTTTCACAGAAAAGTATCCAAAACCTAATTGTAAGACTATAGCCATAGGGGAATACACAATTACAAGTGGTTATACAAGTAATCAAAGGGCAACAAATGAAATAATTTCACAGATTTTAAACCACAAGAAATGAGTAAGAGTCAATTAGTAACGTCATGGGAGTAAAACTAGCACAGTACCACCTAAGTGAGACTCAGATCATGATATAATAAAAACACATTTACCCATTATCTAAAGACACTTAATAGTATGGTGATAGCCTGTGAAGATAATAAAAATTATCTTTAAAAGCTCAACAGTAAAATTTAATAACTGGACAGCATATTAGATTCATTTCAGAACAATGTATGCCAGAAGGAATGAACTGACAAGTCCCAAACTGGCTGAAGAAATCAGGAAATACTGGAGAGAGTTCCAGGATAACACACACAGGATACATATTGATCATGAAACACTAGCTATTAGGATGAAACTGGCAAGTGAAACAAAGTATTTAGTATTGTACCAACGGACAAAGAGGAATGAAGTTTAGCAATTGTACCTGTAAGATTAAACACGAAACTAAAACTACAAGGTAACATCAGTCTCCATGACTTGATATGAGACAAAGATTAACTCCTTAGCCTTAATAAGGATGGATGATATTTAGTAATTGTTTTAGTAAAGATAGTAGCCCAATTCCTCAAATACTTATTTGAGACAAAACCACTCCATAAGGTAAGTCATTGATCAGATCCAGTACAGCCAGTGTTCCACAGTAACTATGTTCTATTTCTGAGTGTCACCTAACTCATTCTTTCATTCTGGAGCTCATAAAAGGAAATTAAAGAGGTATTCTAAAGTGAAAACACAGTGTAATAGTACTCTGCCCACATTTAAAATCAAAATCTCAGACTAGAGGTTGGCAACCTGAATGAAATGGTCTTATGGGAACAACAAAATAAGAGTTTACAACTAAAGGAGAATGCCATAAATGACAACGCCTTGTAAGCCACAGTTATACAGCCCTGTTTTATTTAGCATAAATACAGGCTCCTGCAGAAGGAAGCAAGAACAAAAGATTGAGGATACAGAGAAGCAGGAAGAACCACTAACTGTGGTTAACAGATGAGTTTATGCCTAATTAAAAAGTTGTCTAATTTATTGCCAAAAGGAATAACTGGCTCCATTAGAGGATTTTAATTAAATACCTCTGACTTATCTTACACTAACAAAACAGGCTATTTGTTGTTTTACTATTATGCCATTTGCTAAAAACATACGATTTTTCCTATATCCAACTACTGCATAAATTGGGCACCATCTTTCTCCAATGACCAAGCCTTATTACAATGAAATAGACATTACTAAAAACTGTCAGCACATAAAAGTTGCACTAATTTCTTTTAAAAAACAATTTAAGAAACATACGCCTTTTCTGTCAGCAGGTTAAAATGGCTGATTTTGCAAAACAGAAAATAACCTTTTGGAAACCTTCTCTCTGTTCTTTAGGAAATTAAAAGGGACCAACCTCCAGAGCATCAACTTGAGTGGCAGAAATAACCTAGAAGTCTTAAATAATCATCAACATCACCAACTGTGTTCACACATGGAAGAGCTCCTGCCATACACACTTTCTATGGACAGAGAAGAATATGTCTTTTATAAACCCTAAGCCTGAAGTTTATTCCTCACCATTTACAGTCTTACCTTCCTTGACACGATAAAGCATCGTCAGCGTGTCGTCACTGGTCAGAGCGGTAACATGTAGGTTATTTACTGTTGGCACTTGGTCAGCAAGAGCTGTCAGTTCATGAAAATGTGTAGCAAACATACAGAAAGCACAGATTTTGCTAGCAATGTATTCTGAAATAGCCCATGCTAAGCCAAAGCCATCGTAGGTAGAAGTTCCTCTTCCCAGCTCATCAATGATTATCAGGGAGTTTTCAGATGCTGTCCTAAAAGCACAAGAGCATTTTATAACGTTTAAGAACAGCATGAACTCTGGATATTGGAATACCACAAGTTATGTTGCAGAGGCATAGCACAAAAGAGGCAAAAGAGCTTTCCTATTTATGTAACAACGTACGAATTAAGCACAATGTCTCACAGGTCTTTCCAAATTAGTTTCTTTGTCCCATTTAGACTTTGGTCTCCTGGTAGCAGCTCTATATGACCACTGAAATAAACAGAAGGCTACTTCAAGAACTTATGAGCCTGCTAAAAATTACTTGAGATCCTCCAGTAGAGATCCTACATAAAAGGAAATCTTAAATGCATCTTTCTTAGAGCACCTCCTTTCCCCATCAACCCCAATCAACAAAATCATGCAAGCACAGGTCTCACCTCAGGATTGAAGCAGTTTCTAACATTTCAGCCATGAAAGTAGACACGCCTTTCAGCTGACTGTCTCCAGCTCCCACCCGAGCCAGGATACAATCCACGATGGTTACTTCTGCAGCATCACATGGTACAAAACACCCAATCTGGGCCATAAGAACAATCACCCCTGTCTGTCGGATGTAGGTTGATTTTCCACCCATGTTCGGGCCTACATAAGAAATTTTGCAAATGAATTTAAGCAACATCATCTTTCACAGTTCAGCAGTTCTTTAAAAAGGAAAACAAGCCCAAAATTAAAACAAAGAACATTTAAACTTATTACTCTCTTGGCATGAAGGAGAAGCAGACTTGTCTATAGGTGCAACAAGTAGCTCCGCTACTAATAATGCTTGCTTGTATGTCTTACTGAATGCTGCTTTTTCAAGAGAAAGGTAAATAAAGAACATCAGTGGCCTTCATAAGTTTTGGGACTTTTCAGAAGTATAAGCAGCCATTTAAAACACACATCCATACCTAAAACTAATAAGCTTGAAGTTGAAAGTCATCAATATTGCTGCTTAGAGAATGAAAATAATCTGCTTTCACCTCAAACAACAATTACAATTTGTCTGTAAAAATTAAATAGCTTAGTTACAGGTCAGGTACAAGCTAATGGGTGATCTAAATTACAATATAAAGGGCTTCTGAATCAGCAAAAGCAAATATTAATCAGTTAATTTTAAGTGAAGTAGAAATGAAATGAAAAGTATTTTCCAGAAAACTGATCATTAAAACCAACTTCACACTTTTGCTGACCAGAAAAACAAGCATATTATCATGCATTTATTCAGATTTTTACTTTTTCTTTTTGATTATATGAGAAGTGTTCATTAATCATTCTCTAATTTCCAATCTTTGCCACTCAGAATGTATGTCAAGGACATCTGGATGGGAATTAAAATTCAATTAAATCCATAAACACTAAAAAATGTTTTCCTGTGTGGTAAAATTACCTTAATTACACCAGAGAATAGGGGAAAAAGGGTACAGTCATTGAAACATGTTTTGCATTTAAAATCGACTTAAATATGAAACAAAGAAAACATTAACAAAGAGGCTGCTTAAAATCTTGCCTACAGAAAGTGCCTACGCTGCTACAGTACAATTAATGCCTAGTGGAATTTTCCAAATCACTTAAATAGGTTCCAGTTCTCCAGCTCCTGAGGTTGCCTGGCTTGTGGAGTTATATTCACTAAGGCAAAGAATACATACATTAAGGAAGAACTAGTTTCTTATTTCCTACTGTTCTAGCAGCCTCTCTTTTTCTCCCAAATGACTATTTCTAAATTAGTAATCACTTTCTCCAAACAACGCACTGTAACTACAATCATAACAACTAATTCCATAATTATTAGTTTGCAAGATGAGAAATATGTCTGTATAGGTATAAACATAAACAATATCCACTATCAAAGGAAACGTTTCACAAGAACATTGTGGACACTTTTTCTTAATATAATAAAAACACAACAGCTTTCACTACTCTCCCTTATTTCCCAAGCTAAATCTTATACCTCATACAGAGACTAGTAACCTGCTGGCTACTCACCCGTTGTTGATTTGTAACAAAATTGTTTTCACAGTTTCATTGGACTGTTGGGTTTGTTTGCTTCTTGTTGGTTTGATTTTTTTTTTAAAGGCACCATTATTGGACATAACATAATGATGAAAAAGAGAACAGAAACATTTACCAGTAATAATGTGGAACATCTGCTTGCCCTTCTCAAACGTAACGTCATTGGGGATGAAGGCCACCTCATCTTGTACTTCGATGCAAGGATGCCTGGCACCTTTCAGCACAATCCTTCCTTGTCCCTTTTCCAGAATGACAGGACGGACATACGGCACTGGTGCTCCATTTGACACATGAGCAAAACTGACAATTGCATCTAATTGGGCTATCACATCATTCATCGTCTGTATTGGTTCTGCATAACCTGGTTTTGATTAGACACACCAATTCAACAGTTAGAATTTTCTTTTGTTCTTGCCAACAAGATTATCTTAAAGCTCACATTGAGCACATAAAATTCATTCGTTTGCATTAAAAGTCAACTTTGTTGAAAACAGCAGTCACCTCCTGGGAGAGTCTAAGATGTAATCCTGTAGCTTTCATGCTTTGACTACAAAGAGGACTTCTTCAGACTAAGAAAAGGAAGAGATGAGGCCACACTGAGTGTTTTGCCTTAACGCCAGACAACGAGAAATAGCTTATCTTAGTATGGGAAGGCAAATGCTTACATGGAAAGATGGCTGGAAATCCAGTAAGTTTCCTTCCTCAATAATACACTGTATTTTGATGCTCATGCAAGCAAAGACAATGGAGAGACAGCACTGACAATTCAGACACAGCAACCCTTCACACTGATGTGAATGATGGTACGGAGAGGTAAGATGCAGTGCTTGCAAGACCAGACAACTGGACTAGGTGGCCCAGCAGCCCCAGTACCAGTTCTTAAGTTCTGGTGTTTGGGTTTTTTCAGTGAAAGGGATGACTGACAGAAGACTACAGAGGTAACCCATCTAACACCTGCAAAGGGAATGCACGTGTCAGAAGAGGTGAGCAGTGACCTGCAGAAAGAGTCCTATCTATACAAAGTATATTTAGTGTTCTAACACCATCTCTTGAACTGTCTAGGTATAGATCATGAAGAGGACCTGGACACTTTCATTCAAGAATTACAGACAATCCAGTCTTTTCCATTAGATTAGCTTCACTTGGGGCAGAAATATTATTTTTAAATACACATATACATTTTTAAGTCTATGACTGCACACCACAGAAGCTTTAAGCAGCAGCAAAAGACTTCATTAAACATATTAGGTATTTATAGATGATATAGTGAAGCTAATCCCGCTATATAATACCCAATTAGCTTTCCACATAAATATAGAAACCTTAGCAATCAACATACAAAAAAACCAACACTTAAAAATTACAAGATAAAAAAATAATCTAACAAGCTACTCATTTTGAAACGTACTGGTAAATTCTTTATCGTGACAAAAGGCCAAAGCTTATGAAGATTTCCACTGTAGCTTAATGCACACTCAAATATATTAATATATCAGCTTAAAAGATGTGGGCTTTTTTAATCTTTAATACATTTACCCTTAGTTTAATATTCATTAGTGCTTTCACTTTCCACTTCTCTCTTTGAAAGAGCTAAGATTTGTTCTGGTGGAACTAGTGCCTTTGGGAGAGGCGATATTTAGAGAATCCTCCAGACCAAATTCCTCAATGTCTCTTCTCCTTCTGGTGAAGGATTATAAAGAATATCCTGTAAGTAGGCAATCTTAGAGCAAAACATATGGAAATTAAATTAGGAAAACAATAATTCTTTTTTGTAACATATAAGCAATGACTAACTTTATCTTATATTGCATATCAGTGGTAGCTCTTCACCATCCTTCACAGACTTCAGGTCTCAGTCCCACTCCCTCAGTTCTGTTGTCCTTCACCTCTTCTGCATTCTTCTTAGTTTACCATTTGGGTGGAGATGCCCAGAGTCAGGGTGGTAGGTGGAGGAGGACAGATGTGGCCTTTATGGGTACATTTTTATTCCTTTTATGGGATTAGCATTTGCACACATCCCACCATGGCATATTTGTAGCAATGTCAGGAAATGGTCTGAACACAGAAGACAATGTATTTCAAACTTTTGCCAACTGTCTAAAAGCCAAACCTCTTTTTTCACACTAATTCTTTGGAGAATGTTACAGTTCTCCTCTATAGAAGAGCCTACAAAGCAACCGCAAGTGCTCTCAGCATTTTAGACACTGATACACATCAACATTGACATATTCACCTGAAGCAATGTTAATGATTTCCTTAACAATTGCATCCTGAGCCTCTTCATACTCTTCTCTGTTCTTTATATATTCATCATTGACGGAGCTCAGTTTGCTGTGAACAAAACCACAATATTTAGAAGCTGTGACATTCTGTCTTCGCTGCTACAATGTCAAGCTTCTGGCCACCTCATCTGTGAGTCAATAGCAGTTTTCCTCACCTTTTTAATAGCAAGGTTCAGCACAAGGAACACAAAGTAACTAATCTATGATTCATCCAACACTAGGGTATCAGTAAGTTTAATTCCAAATTGAAGATCACCCACAAGGGCAAACCAGCAACTTGAGCATCTTCAAACGTATCATTCTTAAAAATCTCCTAGCAGTTGTTTGTTATAGACAGGCTATGTGATAAAGACTTGCTCTTAAAGCTGAATTTCTGGCCATTTTGCAACAAGATGTAGCACGTTATGGAACCAGCAGAGGAAAATTGCTGCTAAGCAACTGTGTAATTAGTCCAGAGTCCTACAACAGGCTTTATTAGAGCTGAACGCATTGACTTCTCTCATTTAGTAAAAACCTCAGTGAACTACTGTCACTAAGAACAGGTTCTAGCCTTCAAAATAAGGTAAGCTTAAATCAAGAGAGAGTTTTAACTCTCGAGTTCTTCTCAAGTTCATCTCCAAACACAGCCAAGTAGTGGACCCACACTACAAGCAGAAGTCAGCCTTACGCTTACAGTTGCTTCTGTAGATTGTGCTAGAACTTAACTAAGCACAGAGAAGTCAGTTTTATTAATAATCCATGGGCTTCTTCGCTAAGGGAAAGTAACAGATGACACTTACAGTACGTGTTCTAAGTACCATCTTCTCAGTTACAGAAAAACCTAACTTCATCATTACATTTAGATTAATAATATATTTAGAACCATTAAAAAAGAAAAAAAAAAAAAGCTGTTTTAAATTTCAGAGAGAAAATATCCTCTGAGTAAATGTTAAAATGCAATTAAGGTTTACAGTTTGTTCATGTAAGTAAATTTAAGTGCTAAATTGCTATTGCTGGTGCTAAATACACCAGCATATTGTTTGGTGTGAACCAGTATGCTTGCCATACTTTTCAAAGCACAGGATTTATTACTATGAGAGTGAGTGATTAGCAGAAACAGTCACTATTAGTAATAGCACTGGCTTGAGAACAACCTTGCCCCATAAACAGTGCTCCCCGTATGTCTCTCTCTCTCAATAAACTCACTTCTCTAGTCACTTTACTAAGTCCAGCAGGAGCTGTTACATATAAAGTGACAGCAGCATGGTTTGTCTGAAATAGTTGACAATGTAGTAATCTCTACTATTTTTACCCTTTCATATAACACATGCAGGGAACTTAAAGTACATTTTTCTCCTGGACCTGCCACTGACAGACAAGGAGGAACCTCTCACGATGTTTAAGTCCACTTAGTGGCTGATTATTAGTGGCATTTCTTAGGGTTGATACAGGGGCTGATACTATTTATGCCTTGATTAACAACTCGAATGATGAGACTGAATGCACTCTCAGATGCACTCTCAGCAAGGTTACGAACAATACCACATTAAGGGGAGCAGTCAGCAAACTGGAAGACAGGGCTGCCATTCATTGGGATATATAGAGAGAGAGTAGAGAAATAGGTGGGTAAGAATTTCAACACAGGCAGAAGCAAAGTCCTGCTCTTGGGATGAGGCAACTCCATGCAACATTACAGGCTGGGGTCCCAACGGCTATAAAAGAGCCATTCCTAAAAGAGTCAAGGGATCCTGTGGACAAGAAGCTGAACAGCAGACAGCAGTGGGCCTCTGAGGCACAGAAGACCAAGCTTATGCTGGCTGCACTAGCAAACGTGTAGCCACCATGCTGAAGAAGTGACTGCTGCCCTTTATTCAGCATCATGAGACCACACCTGCAGCGCCGTCTCCAGTTTTGTCTTCCCAGTGTCAGAGGGACATAAAACCTGGAGCAGAAAGTCACCACAAAGATTTGGAGCTAGTCTGAGAGAATCCAGACTCAGCCTGGAAAGGAGAGGCACCAGACTCTTCTTGGAGGTGCACAGCAAAAGAATGAGATACTAAAATACCAAACTTCTGCAAGTAAAGTTCTCATTAGATCTGATTAGAAAAGTTTTTTTACAAAGATTGGTTCAGCACTGGAACATGTGCCCCTCTGGGTTGTGAAGCATGCTTGGACAATGAGCACCTTGGCAAGGCCTTCAGCTACCTCATCTAATTTTGAGACAGGATCCAGTTTCCAAGGTGATTTTGCTTCAAATGAGGAGTTAGACCAGTTAACCTCAAGAGATCACCTTCAACCTAAGTTATTACCTGATTCTTCATATGCAACTTTCTGCCTTGTTTGCTCTGTGCAATCTCCTGCCTTGTTTGCCTTGTGTAAAAATAATGAAGTACAGAGAGAGATATACAGTGACCAAGGTAGTCCTTGCTCCGAAAATCCTCTAGAAGAGCTAAAAATTCAACAGAGAATATAGATTTTATTTTTTTTTTGCTTGGCTGACCTGCGACAGAACTGTTGTCCAGACAAGGAGCCACTGAAACAGCATCAATGCAATTAGCCTGAAGACTGAAATTTTTAAATAACTTAATCTACAGAGCCACAGAATCAAAGTCCAATACATAGGTCTACCAGAAATCACAGCATGATTTGGAACAACAAAAAAAGGTAATCACTAACAAAATTTCTGCAAGTCATATTTGGTGATAAACATAAATAGCTCTTTTTCTACTGCAGCTTGTGAAAGTGTCTATATAAACACTCAGTGAATGCAATTATGCTACTAGCTGCAGCTAAAACAGAGAAATTAACCCGAGTCAAAAGACCAAAAATAGCTAACAGTTGGCAAAGTAAATGCGGAATGCAGCTTTTAACAGAAACTGTATGACTACTCCTCCCTTATGCCAGTCTTGCTCAGTATGTCAATCTGTGAGCCAATTCAAAAGGTGAAAATTCAGCCATTCAAGAT